GAAAGAGTGATTTTGCCATATTCGGACCTGAACAGTGCATAATACTATGAAGCACAGGGCCACTTGTGTTGTTTCCCATCAGTCAAGAAAGCACTTGTTTTATTACCTGATTTAGAGGATTAATATATCATCATTGTTTGCATTGAAAGGGCTTTTTCTTCAGAGAAACACTTAATAAATGGTGTATTTACTCCCTTGTTTATAGCCTAGTGCAGTGGATTGCCAGCCACAAGCTGACATCCAGTTGATGTGGAGTTAATAGTGGAGACTGATGCTGCACACTCTGTAATGTCCACACAACACAGGAAGTTTATCAGGTAGCATAGAATCTGCTGCGTGAAATGCTCAGGGCATGGTTATCTTGAGGCCCCTTCTAATTATAAACTGTTCTTAGCAACCAAACTCCCTGTAAAACTTTAACGTGTTTCTTTGTTCAGGTCTGACATGATTAGAAGGTTTATTACATTTGAAAAAGAGCCTTTTATGTACTATATTTTGTTATAGAATATCTTAATTGATAAGTTCTTGCTCTTCTCCTGAAATGGGAGAACTGGTGTAGGTTTTTTTCCCACAAATTTAAGAGATAGAGAGAGAGAGATTGATTGATTGAGCTTTCATCTGCTGGTTCACTCCCCAAGTGGCTAAAATGTCTGGCGCTGAGTTGGCCTGAAGCAAGGAGCCAGCAGCTTCTTCTGGTCTCCCACATGAGTGCAGGAGCCCATGCAGCTGGACCATCTTCTTCAGTAGTGTTTCCAGTCATATTAGCAAGTAGTTTGATCAGAAGTGGAACAGAACCTAGCTGGGACAGAACCTAGCACCCATTATGGGATGCCAGGACTAAAAGTGGCGGCTTTACTTGCTACAACACGGTGCTGGACTTGCGGTTTTTGTTGTTGGTAGTATAGAGTAGCTTTCTGCCTGCTGGTAGTTTTCTGTCATTGCACAGAATTCCAGAGACCGTAATCACATGAGTAGGCTACGTAAGTAATATATGATGAGACAAGTGGTTAATTCAACCTCATGGAATAATAGAGAACTAAGAATATTTGGATTGTTTTTAAATTTGTAAGTTCAGGAAAAGGGATCATTTTAATGACTTCCCATAGATATAGCCTGTGTTAATTATCACAGCTAATTTAATCTTTAGGTTCTCTGTAGTAGTTTTTCATTATTAGTTCACATTTTCTTTTGTCCTAGATAGAAGCTCATGAGGGCAAGAATCTTATGATTTTATTCTAGCACCTTTCCTTGCCTCTGTACAGAGAATAAGAGATTAGGAAATATGTATAAGTTAAGCATTCTGAGCAGATATTCATCCATTTACGTCATTATTTTTTCATTCATTAAATCTAAGGAAAGCTGTAGTTTTGACATTCCACTAGTTGCTAAAATTTTGAAGATGAATAAAGTCAGATACTTCTGCTCTCAACATATATTGTAACTACAGAATTTTCTCTCGGTAGTTGGGTTGTGATAGCTCTTTATTTTTCAATCTAAAATTCAACAAAGGGAACCGTATTCTTCATAAAAATATTTTTGTAAACAAGTTAACTAGGTAATCTAACAGAAAGCAAAACGGTGCAGGTTGTTTGGGAACATTAATATCTGTGGATAGCTGAAAACACTTTTTTCTGAATTAATAAACATGGAAAAATGCTGTACTGAGGTCAATATAACCTATAATGTAACATTGACTCGGCCCTTCTAATTGATTTATCAAGGACATTTTGTATAAGCAGGGATCTTACTAGTGGGATCATTTACAGGCAGGTACTATTTAGGGGAAATGCATGGAACACCATTTTTCTTCCTAAGAGGATACACTATAGTTGTCATGGATACTCAGGGAAAATATATATATCTACTGCCAAAGAGCTCAGTACTGGCTTGTGGCAAGTTGAAAAAAAAAAATCCCAAGATTGATAAATTAATATGGTAGAAAAGTGGTTTAATTAATATACCCAGATAAATTCCACAGCTATGCATACTTATGACAGTGCTTCTCACTAAGGGTCTCATGGTTGTCCTCTGGTCTGTGGGATTCATAGCCACAAGTCAGTCCCTCATGCTGTAACTTTTCCTGCCCCTACAATTTTTTAAGGCATGTATGATTTTCACCAGTTATCTAAACCCAACTTTTCCTCCTTATCAATCATTTTTTAAGAAGAAAATATCTCAGTTGGGCATCTCATACAGTTCAGAAGAAACTTCTAAAACCTACAACTCGGTTCCATCCTCTTTGGAGTCTTTGGATGATCTAACCATAAAGCTGCGTCTGCAGGTTGTTCTCTGTTTCGGCTGTCCAGACTGTCAGCAGTTGGACTCTCTCGGAGGGTTCTTTTCTGCTGCAAAGACCTTGCGATCATTATGACAGCAGGGATCTGGAGCTCTGCAAGGTGAATCCTACGCTAAGGGAGATCGTTTAAGAAGGAGCAAAAGGAAAAAAAAAAACAACTTTTCTCTAGCAAGATTGAAAGTATAGCAAAATATTTTCCTTTGACATTTTGAAGATATTTTTTTGTGTGTGAACGTTGTATTTTCTAATAAACTGATTGTGGGATGATTACAACAAGGAAAACATTAGTTTGTGTTTAAAATTATAAGGATGAAACTTTGACACAAAAGCCATTGAAAATTCTCCATACATGCCTTTAACAGCACCCTGAAGTCCTGCTGTTTTTACCAAGCTATGCGTATTCAAATGAACTTGCTTCTTTTTCAGGTATAGCATACGTGCAATTAAGAGAACCCTGGATATTGTTCTGCATCTATATTTAAATCTTTTAAAAATATTCTTCCAGTTTCAATTTAGTGATGTTTATATTGTTTTGTGATTGCCATATTTTGTTTCTTTCCTTTGTTTTGTCAGTTGTGTGTTAGTGTTTCGGTTTATTTTATTATGATTTATTTGGGGATACGCCTGTTTTATAATTTTCAAAACATATTTTAGGACTTCCTGGCCTGACTTCCAAGAATATGGTTCCTTATGGCATTTAATATCGTGGACTATTTAATTAATGTTGAATAGGTGAGCAGTTGACTCCCAATTGGTTTTAAAAATAAATGCACTAGAGTGAAACATGAAAAAACAGAAGGTAGAAAAGTAGTCCAGGATGTTGTTGATGAAAGATAACTCATATTTTAACTGAAAAAAAAAATAACTGACATATGCATTGAGAGTAAAATTATCTTCTAGAGAGGGCTTTGGTAATGTTCTCACTGGCCCTCTTTTTTTCCGTTTATAAAACTAAACATGTCTGACCATCTGACTGGTTGTCATACTAATTTTAGCCCACACTGACTGGCAACTGTAATGTTAGATAGGTGTCCTTTAATTTATTTTCTTTTGACATGTAGGTGGGAATGAAATAATATGGTAAACAGCCACATACTAAATTAGAATCTATTTTTTTCTGGAGCATCATGGATCCTATTTGGCTGAATATAGTCTTGCCTGTTATTTATGTGAATAATAAATAATTGTCTTTTTACTCTTTAAAGTATTTTGAGATGGTGTTTTTTAATGTCCACATTGAATATTGATACATGATATTGATTTACTTCAAATATCAGTCTGTAGTATTTGCTGTAGTAGTAACTGTGTAAGAAATAGTTGTTTGCATTTCATCCTTCCAGAAACTTCTTTAAGGTTCTCCTCTGTTATTACTGTTTTTATTAGTTTTAAACCTATAATAAACCAAAAAGTGTTTGGTGCCATTTTTAGAGTTTGAGTTCAAATTGTGAAAGACACTAAATGGCTTTTGCACTGTGGCTCAACTATTAAGTCCCTTGACATCCTGGAAAATAAAAACGGGGCACTTGCTCTTATTTGCAGGGAACAGAGGAGTGAAATGAAGATGAAAGGGAAAGATAACAAGTTAACTAGATTAAGCCATAAACAACTATTCTAAAAGTAATTTTTATTATTTGCCTCAATTTGTGATGGGGCCTGATGAGTTAGTGGCATTTGTGCCAGCTTGCCTTTTTTCTATAAAATTTATTCCAAAATTAGGAGGGTAACATAAAATATTAAAGCCTAGGCAAATTCAGGCCAGTTCTAATTTATATATTTTGATGTGTTTTTACACATTACTTTAAATGAGTTGGATTACATATTAGGATGTGACGTGATGGCAGTAAAGGCTTATTTGAATTTTGATATTTAAAACATAAATATTTATGTCTTTTACCAAAAATCTTGGTACTTCATTAGGTATGAGGAAGTTTTAAATCTGTGTAGTAAAATGATCTTCCTTTAACCTGACAACTAATTCTGTTACTTTACTTTACAGGTCATGTAATGTTTGCAGAAATAAAAATGGAAAATGGAAAGTCAAAAGGCTGTGGAACGGTCAGATTTGACTCCCCAGAGTCAGCTGAGAAAGCTTGTAGAATAATGAATGGCATCAAAATCAGTGGCAGAGAAATTGATGTTCGCTTGGATCGTAATGCATAATTTCAAACCAGCATTGGAACATTCCTACATCTGTTTTGCTGAATCTCTTATTAAAAGTCATTTTTAAAGTAATTCTGTATGCCTACAAAAGCTGTAAAAATGAACTTTAAAATTCGCACCAGCTTTTAACAATATAATGTTAAAAATACTGTGATTTTTGTTAATCTCAAGTTTGGGTTTTTAAAGGACAGAAGTCTGGTCATTCAGTTTAAATGAATGGTTATACTGTTTTTGATGAAATAAGCCATTTTCTTGTTATTGTCTTTAGTACTGCATAGCGGGGTTTATTTGTTCTAGTTTCCCCAGATTCTATCAGCTTATTGTAAGGTAACATGTAGATGGTTTTTTCAAATTTTTGTTTTATAAATGTAATTGTCTGTGAAGTGAAAAGGCTCAGACAAAATTAAGATGTGATCTTGGTTGGTTTTAAATTACTTTCTTTGGTGATAAAAGAATTATTGTAAGTAAGGTTTAGATTCTAAAATTCATGTTTATTTGTCTTGAATGAAAAAATGAATTTTTCCTTCTCTTTCCTTTGAACTACTCAGATTTTTCACATAACTATTAATATTAGCCCCCACATCCCCTTGTTTTATTGTTTCCAATAATTCCAAGTTCATATAGAACTGACAATGTAATAAGCCCAAAGTATAATACTAGGCAGACAGCTCCTAATTTTTTGTCTAGCTTCCATCCATTGAAGTGTATTGCTAAAAAAAGAAAAATAATTGAAATGATGAGAGAGATGGTTATGTAAGTTAGTCCTCTGCTGTTCACCTCAACAGGAGTTGATGGATTTATCATTGCAGTTTTAATAAACCACGGGACACCTAGACATAGCATATCAAACACATTGGATCCCACGATGTTAGACATAGCCATGTCTCCTTTACCTGCAAAAGAAGCATGTTGTCAAAATGTGCATACCAATACTGTATTTTATTAATAATCTTCATAAGAAAAGAACACTGGATGCTTTTTGTTGTTGATTAGTTTTGGAAAGTTGTTATGAGAGCAAAAGTCTTACTGAATTTGTATTTTAGAATTTTTATTGGGTTAGTATTTAAAATCTTAACATTTATTTAATAATTATTTATTAAACCATTTTTTTCAATAAGTATGTAGCTTACTCATTGCTTTTCATTCTAGTTTGCCATGGTTAATTATTACTTAATGCACATTTCAGCTGAGTACTTGGGGGTTTAGATTTAGTGAAATTAACGTGCTATTAAATAGTACACTTCAGCTATATGTTTTTTTCATTCAGTTCATGTTACTGAGGAAGTAAATATTTTTAAAACTCTTTACATAATATGTTTCACTCAGGCTTGAACAGTGGACATTGCAGACTGGGGGACCTGATTCTTACCTTTTCTTGCAACCAACACACTTGCAACTGTGTCTGGTATGCTTGTTCCTGCTGCTAATAAAGTGAGGCCCATGACTGTGTCTGGAATTTCTAGTGTTTCTCCTGCAACAAATGTAGATATTACAAGTTATGGATATTGCAGTTCTTGTTAACATTCTCTTCAACTGTTAGATTCTTTGTCCTTGAGCAAAAATAAAATAGGCACAAATTTTAGAACCAGTATGAGCAAACATAGTTTTTAACTAACAAAATACTTGAATCAGGTTGGAAATTTTGGAAAGTCAGATAACATAGGTTTTTCTTAATTAACAAATATTTAACAGCCAAAATTTGACCCTTGTGAAATCTCCCTCTTTGCTATTCTTAGGGGGGTTGTGGACTCCTACTGTTTTCAGGGCTGTTGCTTAGTACATGTTAATGAGACAGATGATCTCATTTAAACTGTAGGTAGTCAGAGTTAAACAAAATACTTACAGTATTTTTAAACCTATAATAGTATTCACATGTATACTTTTTTAAGTCTTACCTTCGTAATGTACTTTAGTGTTTCCTCGGCAAAACCCATAATCTTTGAGAAAAACAAGACTTTGTTTTCTATTTGAGCTTTTTAAACATATGATCCCAATTTATTAATACTTCTGTTAAATTTGATGTCCGTTCAACATTTTTCAGAAATGTGTTCATTTTGGGAAATAGAAGTTTAAAAGTTTAAAGGGAAGTTTAAAAAAACAACAAAAAAGGACATGTAACTGCTTTTTTGAAGTTGTAACATAATACTTGGTTTAGACTATTTTTCTTAAAATGTTGAAAGAACTTGATTAGAATGTAGCTTACTTATTTGCATGCTTCTCTGTTGATACTGGAATTGGTTGTTAATTTTGTTACCTACTTTGCTAGAGTTCATATGTACATAAATAACACTAATTTATCATCTTGGGGGCTGTTCTGTGATCTATTGCTTGAATTTGCTGTCTATATTTTTCTGATATTAAATGTGTTTTGAGTTGAAAGTTTGGGTAGATTTAGCATACTAGCTAATTAGTTTTCAAAAAAAACTTCCTCATTAAAAGAAGATACTCTGCTCTTTGTGTAACAAATTATTGTAAAACTTATGTAGTAATTTAGGAAAAGATAGGGGTTAGCAAATTTGTTTTGTGTCAGAATGATTATATAGTAATTATTTTAAGCTTAGGTGGCTTCATAGCCTCTTTTCCAATTATTCTGCTCTGCCACTGCAGTGTGAGAGCAGCGACAAATAATATGTAAATGAATGGGCCTGTGTACAGTAAAACTTCACAATTAAAACTAGATTAGATGATCCAGTCAGATAAACAGTAGTTTATCTAATATAAGTCAATTTAGGTTAAACTTTTTGGGGAGAAATTTCTGATCTTTTGCCAACATTTCATTTTTTATTTTGGGAATAGATTGGATAGCGGCCAAACAGGAATAGTTAATTTTTAGCCATGCATGTAGTAGAAACCTAAAGTGAAACTTTACTTTAAACCATTTTCACTCATACCATAGTATACTCATATTGCTGTGTTGAAAAGCCAAAGTGTGTACACATCAGTTAAAGAGTGAGGACACATTATTTCCCAAATCACTGATTACCTGTCTATTTTCAGTGGGGTTTAGTCATTAGTATTAGCATAAAAGAAGACATCCTGTGCATTTATAAAGCAATCCCTTTATTCCCTAGTTTGTATAATAGTGACAATGGTTGATACATAGCATGCAAATCAAAAAAATCTCATCATTTTAATATTTAACCTTTTTGTAAATAGTGCTAATCATTAGTCATGCTGAAAGAACTTTGCTCCCTAGCTATATTACTTTAAGACTATATGAAATTTTTTCTTACAAAGTTACTTGATTTTTATATTAAGCTATTGTGTTTTAGGTACATACCAGTTATTGTGACCATCCAAACCAGGACATAGGTAAATGCAGATATCCATAGTGCAGACATGAAAAAAGTTATCATGAAGTAGTTTTTCCAAAACTTTCTTCTACAGTCTGGTGTGGTTAGAAACAGTAATGTAATAATAGGAAGAGATAATACCCAGAAAATCCTTTTCAAGTCTGCTTCAGGCATGTTGAAAACACTAGGTGGATCTGTTTGGAAAAATTAAACAATTGCCCACTTAGAAAGCTATATTGAAATAAATTAGTTGTATCAGTTCTTAAAAGTCTAATACATTTCAGTAAGTCAGTACTGATACTGTTGGCAAAAAGAAATGAATTGAAATTCGAGGGAAGATAATATAAGCAATAACACTTAGCATTTCTTAGTTTTGGAACTTACACTATCTTGGGCCACTCATTAAATATTAGAGTGCTTATGAAGTGACACTTTAAATTTCTTGCACTATGGATTGGTTTTAGTAACGTCTACTTGTGGGATTAACTTGGCTAACCTGGCTTCTATCCCAACTTGGTGCAGTTGCACCCCACTTTCCAATACTGATGGTGCCTCTGGTCTGCTGTGTGTATCAGACAATGCATACATAGAGAACATAAACTAATCTTTTTACAAAGATATGTATTCCATTTATTGTTTAGACCTATTTCATTGTTAAATAAGAGGAAAACCAGGAAAACAATATATTGGAATAAAACACATTAAAATTGTTTAAAGTTTGTACAACATTCACAAAAATCATTCATATCCAGTCACAGATAATTGCAGTAGACTCTTTATAAAAAGCTTGCCAAGTCTTAACCACTGCACCATGAGTAACAATATTTTTAATGTAATAAAATATCTGGACTAGCTCTTTTGAGTTTCTTGTTATAAAGCTGAAAAGGCTCATAGCTGAAAGACTAGAAACTAATTTGTGTAACAATGGAAGTCATAATTTGCATTTCTGGTCATAGCTGAATTTGATTTTCTAATGAACATACATAAATATTTTGCTGTTGCTTCAAACATTTAAAAATTTTTGCGATTTCATTCCTTCAAATCAGCCCATTTTCCTAAATGTCTAGCTTTTATAAGCTTTTCCCAATTTCTCAGATTGTGCTGAGATTGTATTTGCTCCTTTTTCTTGCCCAGTGTTCCTCAGTAGTCAGGTTTGATTCATTCCATTTTCTTACATCTGTTCCATTTCATTCTTTGTTTCATCTAGACATCTGGTCAACTTGTCAGGTATACTAATAGTCTCCTGCAACTCCCTATCTCTTGACTCAGTTTCATTATATTGTCAGCATCATTTGAGGAAATATTTCTAAAATAAAAATAATTTCCTTCATCAAAAACATTACAAATTTATTAAAATATATATATATTTTTTGCCATCCCAAACCGCTAGGTTTCTTAGATTAGCATTACAAACTCTTGCTGCTTTCCTCTGCTCCCCAACTACACATATAATCATACAGGTTGAGCATCCCTAATCCAAATTCTGAAGCTATTGAAGCAAGTGGCATGCGATGGGTCAGAGTCAAAATACAGGCCCACTGGAATAAAGCATAAATGGATTTTGTGTTTAGATCTAGATCCCATCCTTAAGCTACCTCATTATGTGGGTAGATTCCAAAAAATTCTTGCCCCAAGCATTTCAGATAATAGAAACGCTACTCTGCTGCAGTTCTGCTAGACCTTGTGCGGGCCTTTGGTTTATGTTGTTTCCTGGGCTCCAATTCATAGAATATACTCTATCTTTTGCATCATTTATGTAATAAAGATATTAGTAGCTGTGTTCCATTGGTCACACATCACCCCATTTCTTAACATCTTTTGTATGTGACACCTGTCTTCAAATTTCATAGCATCTCTCCCATTTATAAACCACAGCTATGTATTGTTTTGGCATCCCTTTGTGATACTTAGACCTTAATATTTGGCTTTGCTTTTCTACCCGTGCTTGGAAGCTCCATTAGAGCCGGGTTTGAATATCTCTGCATCTGCAGTGTCTTCTATGTAGGAAGTAGCAGTACTTGAATTAAAATGAGACTTTTATATTTCAAACGTATAGACTTAATTGTGAGTCTGATATAGTTATTACCTTCACAAGCCTGACTAAGACCATGTAAACCTATGGAAAGCTGGGAGTAGCCAGAATCTTCATGAAAAATTCCACTATCAGTTCTTGATTGTCGACGAATGAATGGTTGACCCTCCTCTTCCCATCCCATCAGTGGCTGCTGTTCGCTTCTCTCCTCCATAGCTTTGGCAAGACAGGTACAGCAAGGACTGCATTTCCTTATTAGGTACTGGTTAATTTTAATGTCATAAGACAGCACCAAAACATACAGTCCATATATCAAAAGCAGTAAAATCCCTTCGTACCTATAAATTGAAGGCGAGAAGTTTGTATTTTTACGTTAGCTAAATTTATTTTAGTGTGAATAGATTTTAGGAAGTATCTGTTTAATAAATTTCTAAAAAGAGCATTAGAATGAACACTTGTACGTACTTTTGTAGACTTGTTCAAACTTTGTTATAGTGCTATTACACATTTCTTAATAAAAGTATGATACTTTCCATATGAAATAAAAATTGTCTTCATTTGTGGATTACTTTTAAATGGTAGACATAAAAATACCTTGAAAATAACAATTGGGAATTTTCAAGGTAAAAATAATGAATAGTGATGGACATCTACTAACTCAGTTCACTGACATAGCGTGTCCACAAAACTGAAAGTTACCAGTGCACATAGTATCTGTTCACTCATTTTCCCAGCATAGAGTTTTGTATAAAATATTCCTAGAGTGTTTTGTCTTGGGCCTTTCAGGTTTGTATGCAAAAAAATTTTGGTGCATTTAATGCAGAAAATTTTAATGTGGGTAAATTTGCTACTATTCCCAAGAGAAAAAGAATATTCTCTCAAATTATCCTTTTGGCACCAACTGTTTCCTAGTATTCTGGTTTCTTACCTAAAGAACTATAATTCGCTAATGCAGGAGATCGGAAGCTTGCGTTTACTTTTTACTTATTACCAGTATATGTCTGCCACAGTTGAACAAAGTTTCTAATCTTCCTAATGGAGGTAACATGAATTTGGATACTCTGTTAGACAGTCCCTTGCAGCTTATGGATTCCAGAAGGATCCCTGCTACACCAATAGTCTGTTTTTGAAGACAAGCGGCATGTCAGAGAAATTAATTTAAAAATTCTGTGTTGTACTTTATTTCTTGACAGCAGTTATTGTGCAATGGTGCTAAGTTGTAGTACTCCAGCATGCACTATTTACGTTATTTTCAGTTTTCTACTGTCCTCTTGGAAGTTGTGTAGTGCACAGCCTGCATGTCTGTGTCCTTGACATTGATTATGATGCTTAATGTAGACGTAAATATCTTCTAGATGCCTGCGGCTAATTAGTGGACAAAGTTTGTATCTATCCACTCAGTCACACTCTGATTTTCTTGGACAAGCTGGGCACAGAGAGATCATGGGAAAGCAAACACTTTTTAATAGAGAAGCTTAAACACTGTTGGTGCCTGGGGAAAAAAAAAAAAAAAAGACCATCGTTCCTCCTGCTAATCTAATAACAGAGGTAGCTGGAGTGATTTAAAGGGAATTAAAGAGAATTCTCTTATTTCCTCCATCATCTTTCTCTAGTCTTTTGTGAACATGACCACTTCTCAGAAGAGTAAGGTAAATCAATAGTCCAGTAAAAGAAGAAACCAACTCTTAAGGCTTTAATGGACAACAAATGTTGGCAAATTGTGAATAGACTGCTGACATGGAAAGAAAAATGTTAGTCTCCGTGACTGGCGAACGTTTCTATCAAGCAATGAGAAGAACCTAACAAGCAATTGTACCGAGGAGGTTGCTTCCGAGGCCCATTGGCATATGGTGTAGAAGTGGCAGGTAAGTGAGACATGAAGTAACATGTCTGAAGGAAAAATTACTGAATCATCAATGAAGTCCTCTCTGTCTTACGTAAGAATAAAAATTATTTCAAGCTTACCAGTAAACTTGGTTATCAAATATTATGCCAAAAACTGCTGCCACACTGATGGCATATGCTGCACAGTCTCTGAATAGGGGCCAACATGAGAGTGTTGAAACCTGTAAGATGACAGTTCATTTACTGTTTCCGTCACAGGGCAAGTCATTCAAAGCTCAATGCTTAACAATGCTAAAATCATTTGCATGTTTGTGTTTAAACGTTACCTTTCACATACTGCTTAGAGGACAAGAAAATTGTTTCCAAACCTACACTGACTTTCCTATGTTTGACAAAGAGTTGTTAGTCGGTTAAATTGAATACAGGCTGTTTTTCTAATGAATAAATTTGAACACATTTACTAGAGACTCATTGTTACTCCCAGACTACAAAGAATTGTTTGTAGATTTCACCAAGGCAATAAATCGTGCTGAGTAAAGTTTTCTCACCACATTAGATAACAAGCCACAGGCTGCACAGATGCCAAGAAGATTATAAATTGCAGATCCAAGAATAGTACTGATGCCAATATCTCCTTTTGTGATAAATACACCTGTGAGCACAACAATAGTGGAAAAGTTAGTTTTCACTTGGAGAAAATCACACCATGTACATAAAACGTACAAGGAGAAATACTTACCTAAGAAAGCTGTAACTAATTCAGGAGCTGAACTCCCCGCTGCCATGAATGTTGCACCTGCAACATCCTGAGACAATCCAAGCGCTAAAGAGAAATGAAATGATTGTTATATCTGATAAAGGAGCAAATGAAAGCATGTATGTGACACAATCCAGTATATATTCAAAGCAACTCGTAAGCATGACACTGACTTAAGCTGGAAAAATAAAACACGTAGATTATAAAGCAGAGGTGTCTAGTGTCTTGGTTTATTTATGAATCCATTAGTGTTCCTACATAAAATCTGAGGAAACCAAGAGACTTCAGAAGCACATATTGGGGTATGTGAAAAAGTCATGGAAAATAAAAAATGTTTGACAAAGCAATTTCATTTCCAATATCTTCCAGCACATATGTACACACACACACACACACACACACACATACACACACACACACTCCTGAGTGTAAGTGTAACCAGACAGGAGAAAACTGCAATGAAACTATAAGTCACTGGTGAAACCAGTTGAAGAAGACACACAGAAATAAAAAGATCATGTGTTCATGGATTAGAAAAATCAGTATCAGAATTTGTATGCCCAGTGATATCTAAAGCTTCAATACAATCCCTATCAAAATTCGACATTTCTCACAGAACTAGAAACACCAAAGTAGGAACCAGCATTTTTATGATGCAATGAGCTAAGCTATTAGCTGCAATGTTAGCAAGTCACAAGTGCTCCACTTCCAACACAGTTCCCTGCTAATGCACATTGGCATCAGAAAATGGTGCAAGTGCTTGGGCCTCTGCAGCCATGCGGGCACCTGAATGAGGTCACTGGCTCCTGGCTTCAGCCTGGCCTGGCTCCAGCTGTTGTGACTACTTGGGGGGAATTGCATGAGCAGATAGGGAGAGTTTTAACTCTTTCCACTTATTCTAACTCTGCCCTTCAAGTGTAAAATGAAGCTTTATAAAAGACAAGTAGCCAAAACAATCCTGAGGAAAGAACAAATCAGGAAACTTAACATTTCCCGATTTTCTGATTTTAAAGTATATTACAAAGCTACAGTAAAATAGCATTGTATTGGCATAAAATATTCATAGGCTAGTGGAATAAATCAGACTATAGATACACACACACACACACACATCTATACGTAAATGCTGATCTTTCACAAAGGTGCTAAGGATGTGCATTGGAAAAACAAGCCTTTATAATAAATGGTTCTGGAAAAATTGGATATACACATACAAAAGAAAAATTAGTCTCCTATCTCTTCACTAAGCACATATATCTGCTCAAATAAAGACTTAAACAGGATTTAAAACTTTGACACTACTAGAAGAAACCATACGAAAAACACTTCCAGATATTGAAACAGGCAGATTGTTCCAAACTATAAAAGCCCAGGAAATAAAAAGTAAAATAAATGGGATTTCAGCAAACTAAAGAATTTTTGCACAGAAAAGGGACCAACAGAATCAGAGACAATCTCCAGAATATGGAGAAGATATTTGCAAGCTATTACATCTGTCAAGGGATTCATATCTAGGACACATAAAGCACTAAACAGCAAAAGACTAAATTTTAAAAAGTTATTTCTTAAAGGAAAACAAAACATCTTATTGGCATGTAAAGAAACGCTCAGGATTACTCATCATCAAGGAAATGTAAATGCCAGGAGCCGAATGCCAGGAAAAAGGAGTATTTTCAAAATGACAGAAGGTAAGTGCAGGTGAGGATGAGGAGAAAGCAAGCTGTGGCACACCGTTGGTGAATGCATGTTTGCGCAGCCATTGTGAGAAGAACAGTGGCGGGACCTCAGAAACTAAAGCTAGATCTACTACCATATGATCCAGCGATCCTGTTAGTGCTGGGGAGTCCAAGGGAAACCAGCTCTTGAAAGAACACTGGTCTATGTTATGACAGTACTATTGACAACGGCTACGGAACGGACACTGCCTCAGTGATTTCAATGGAAGCAACCCATCTACTGAAGAATGGGTGAAAAAATGTGGCACAGATGCCCAATGGAATAATCACTCGTTCTTAAAAATATTTAAATCTTATCATTTACAATAACATTAATGAAAAGAGGTCATTATGTCATTATGTTTAGTGAAATAAACCTAACATAAGAATGCATATCATGATTTTACTCACACATGGACTTGAAAATAGGTGATCTCATCGAAATTAAAACTACAGCTGTGATTGCGGGAGGCTGGGGAGGAAAAGGGACAGTTTGGAAAGGTTGATTGATGGGTGTGGGCTAGGCAGGAGTTAATGATGTGGGGTTCTACTGCCTGGTAAGGTGAACTTGACATTAATGTGTATTTCTCTATTTAAAACCTAGAAGATAGGGTTTATGGAAGTCCTAACTAAATAAATGTAAGATGATTGAAAGGATAACATATTTATTCTTATTGGACATTGTACAATACCTAAATGTAATGAAACACCATACATATATATATATATATCATGCAATTTCTGTATGTTAAAACATGTATACTGCTTTTTCGTGTAGTTTTACATGACCTTTTTGAAGATCCTTCATTAACATGGACTTTTTTAAAGATTTATCATTTTTATTGGAAAGTCAGATATACAGAGAAAAGGAGAGATAGAGATGAAGGTCTTCCATCTGCTGACTCAATGTGGCTGCAATGGCTGGAGCTGAACTGATCAGAAGCTGGAAGTCAGGTGCTTCTTCTGGGTCTCCCACACAGTGTAGGGTCCCAAGGCTTTGGCCACCCTCCACTGCTTTCCCAGGCCACAAGCAGGGAGCTGGATGGGAAGCAAGGCTGCCCATATGGGATCTCAACGTGTGTAAGGCATAAACTTCAGCCACTGGGATACTGCTCAAGGCCCATATACATGAACATTTTTTTTTTTTGCATCCAAGAAATATACTTTAATTCCATTTTCCATGAAATTTTTTTAGCTATATGCATATGTATCCTGAATGCCAAGATTTAACATTTTAAATCTAGATAATCCCTTTTCTAGCAGTGGAGCTTATAAGGGAATAACATCAATGGAACTATTTTACAAAATAAACTAAGGTAATTTAAGCAATCAAATTCAATTTGTAAAAAAGATAGAAGGTGCAAATCAGTAGTTTTTAAGTTTATTCACTAATGAAGTATACAAGTGGCAAGCCACAGGAGTTCCAAGATTAGGACACAGCAGATGATGAGTTAATATTCTGCTCATGGCCACTCGCTGTTAGAGGCCCAAGCCACCACATAAAAAGTCTTGCTACCTTGAAATCCATATACAGAGAGATCTCATGGGTCTATCAAAGTATACAGATGGCTGAGGAAGTTGTGCAGTTTCAGTTACTAAGTTTCAAATGTCTGTTTAGGCACATAGGAGGTAGTCAGAGTTCAGACAATTCCAGCCCCTCCCTTGACGCTACTTGCAGAAATTGGAAAAGGTAAGAGAATGATGATTATCATTTTGTTTTAAAGATATATATTTTATTGGAAAGGCAGACTTACAGAGAGAAGGACTGACAGAGGGAAGCATCTTCGGTTTGCTGGTTTACTCCCCAAATAGCCTCACCAGGTGAAGTTTAGCTGATCCAGAGCCACGAGCTTGCTCTGGGTCTCATGTAGGCTCATGGTCCCAAGGCTTTGGGCCATACTCCATTGCTTTCCCAGGCCACAAGCAGGGAGCTGGATGGGAAGTGGAGCAGCTGGTACATGAACCAATGGCCACGTGGGACCCCAGAGCATGCAAGCAGAATGTTTAGCCACTGAGCTATTGTGCCAGACAAGTGATAATTTTCTTAAGCCATTAGTTTGAGGAATGATTTGTTCAAGTTACTGGATAAACATTGCCAGATTTTTTAAATTTAGTGCTGATAATATGGCAATGTTTGTAACAAAGTATTGTTAAGGAAATTTCATTCGAGTGGTGGGGTAGGGCTGGGGGAACAAGCAAAAGAAATAGCATCCTAGAGATCCTCGTGTAAAGGCGAGAACAGGAGCTGTGAGTCTAACATGTCACGGAAGAAGCATTGAGATTCTTTAATGGTAACCAAGAAGGACTTAATTGATCAAGTAACTCAAGGCCTTGAAGTGAAGGCGCTAGTTACTCATATACCTGGCTAAGTGAGTCTAGGCAAAATAAATGACTGCATAGGTTCCGAAGTGGAAGTTAGCCTATGTGTTTGAGAAATAGAAAACTGGGTGTCTGGAATGAGAAGCAGTAGGTGATCTCAAAAATAATAGGAAGATTACACAAGGCTTTGTGGCTTCCAGTAAGGATCTGGTTTTTATTCAGAAATCCCTGGGAAGTCCTTGCAAAGTCATTCTCTGATGAATGCTACTAGCCCCAAACATTAATTTTTCTGCTATTGGGTTATTTGCTCTTAGAGACCCAACCATTTCTAACCTGAGTTGTTTCGCCAACAGATAAATTTCCATTGTGAAAAATTATCCACTGATAGTTGCAGTTATCAGCATAACTAGAATCGCTAATTCAGTTCCTTAATTTTGTCACTTGATGTTCATTTACCTACAGTGACTAATAAAAGAAGAGATGATTTGTGTAATTTGCATTTCAAACCATTTCTTTCATTGGTTTACTTACATTTCTTATTATATGTGTATAAATATAATTCTATGTGCATATAATTATATTAGTAAGACCAATTGGCCATAAAATTAAAAACAGGAGAAAAGTTAAAGCAGGCAACTCTGAGATTAGCTTTTGTCTTATTTAAAAAATTATGCGGGTATCCTACTTGCATGGTGTACAATTTATTTTTATGTACATAATGCTATCAACTGTCTGCAGTGGGAATTCTGGTATTTCATTTTTGGGGGGAAGCAGATTTATGAGATTACATGATAGTAAAGAACCTAAATGTGGGAAACCACGCCTTTGGCGACACTGGCAAGCCCAGATCTCTGTCTGCCTCTCCGCAGAGACTCATTACAGAGCCACCCAGGCCAGTTCTAACCCAGTTGGTGATTGAATTCTTTTTTTCCTGCTTGTGGTGCTGCCTTCCTAACTACTTCATTGCATTCTTTCCTAGAGTAAAAGCTAGATGCCGAGATTCCAGAATACTTTGTAAGTTTCTAACATATG